TAACATAACATAACACAACACATCACAACATAACATGTCATTCTTCAATTTTATCTTTTTCCTTATCTCCTTTTCTTTGTCTCTACCTTTATCTCTATCTTTGTCTCTGCCGTTTTCTTATCTTTTTATTTTTATATTTATCACTGCATTGACTTTAATTCAGATCTTTAACTGTATTTTAATTTACAAGGACGAATAAGTATTTAAAATGCGATTTTTAATTAATTTTATTTTTTTAAGCTAATAAAGTTAGGAGGGCAAAATTCGAGGATATGGTCGTGTGTATTAGTCCTTAATAAATCAATTTTTTCATAAATAAATATTGCAAATTTTCAAGAATATTCAAGGATACAATTTTAAAAGGTAATTTTCCATATACATTCGTCCTTATGCACCAAAAAATTTAATATTCTACAGGATTTTCTCTTTTATTTGATACCCACATTGTTATTCTACATTGCACTGAAATTTTTTAATAATATTTTGAATTAATCATATATTTGCAGTTTTAAAGTCTTTAGAAAAAAATCCTGATGTCAGAGTGAAAAATTGAAAGCGCGGTTTTACTACATTTTGCCCATATTTTCGCGAATATATTAATTTTTGTGTGTAAAATTTACTACCGCACGGTGTTATATTAGTAAACGATTTAGTAGCAAATTATAGAAACTATTTTGTCGACAAATACACAGAAATGTTGGGATTGAGTTTTCCAACGAATGAGATATCGACCATAAAATGACACCTCTTTTACCATTTAATTATAGTTGATTCAGTACTTTTTTCTTTGAAATATGGTAAGTGTTATCGATTACACCATTTTAATAATCATATTCACCAGGAGAAATGTTCGAATGAGTAACTGTCAGACAACGCCTGAAAATCCTGCAAAGCCTGAAAGAAGTTCGAAATTCGGCATCTGTCGGGCTTTTTGCACTAAATCGTCTTTCAGGCATGAGCGCCTAAAGCCGAAACGCCTGAAACGCCTACTATGGAGCTCCAGCTTAATATACTCATTAAAAAACTTTAATCGCACTTGCTCCCGTTAGCTTTTTACTTCTTCAAAATTCCACGTTTATTCCGAAATTTTTTTGCTGGCGAATTTTCTCCGCATTTTTTTTTTGCAAAACGTATTCAAATGTAAAAAAAAAATATTTTCAAAAGGATTAACAAATTGACATTATAGTAAGTTTTTTATTAAATACCATAGGGGAATTCGCTCTTATGTGCATTCGTTGTATGTTGTGTAATTACACTTATTACAATTATAATTGTACCATGGATAAATACATTTTGGGGTTTTGTATACATTACCTTCAAAGCAATGGAACCTAAAAGTGTTTTGGATGGAAATGAGAGGGAATAACAATGCAAAAATATTTAAAAGGCGCAGCGAAGCTCGCCGGATATTTGCTAGTATGTATGTATGTATGTATATATTTTCAACTATAAAATATTTTAATGGTTACAGATTGCGCTACGTTTCACCTCCGAAAATATAGCCAACTGTGTGCTTGGCATTACATCCAATACTTTTAGCGACCAATTCCTACCAATTGCGAAATACGTAAAGCTGTTTTCCGAAAATAGTACTGTTTTTATTATTTACACATTTATCGCCGGTCTTTTTCCAAACATAGTAAATTTCATGAAAGTCAAATTCATTCCAAAAAAATGCGAGGACTTTTTCGAAAATCTAATTCGAGAAGCCTATACCATACGAGTAAGAAGTAAAATAAGACGAAATGACTTTATGGATCATCTTGTAACATTGGTGAAAAGTAAACTCCTTAACGAACACGAAGTAGCTTCACATGCAATGACATTCCTCATCGACGGCTTGGATACATCAGCCACAGTTATATCTCATTGTTTATTTCTAGTAAGAGTGCTGTTATTTTTTCTTGGAATAGGAGTACTTTATTAAAGAAAACGCCTTTCAGTTGGGTCGTCACCAAACGGCGCAAAAGAAGTTACTTTGTGAAATAACGAAGAATTCTATAAATGGCGAATTGAGTTTCGATAAACTAAATCAACTTTCTTATTTGGATGCTTGCATAAACGGTAGGTGTTTTTATTCAATTCATTAAACTTATTCGTTAACTAACATACATATGTATATCCTTTTTATTTAGAAACTATTAGAATTCTGCCGCCCGGTTTGTGGTCAATAAAAACGTGTACCGCGCCACATACCTTCACAGGCAAGAACGGCGAACGTGTTTCTTTAGCCATCGGTGACTCCGTTTTAATACCAATATACGCTCTCCATCATGATTCTAATTACTACACAAATCCCGAACAATTTCAACCCGAGCGTTTTCTTAACGAAAAAGGCAGTAAACTGAAAACATTTCATGACATTGGAGTATTTCTGGGCTTTGGTCATGGTCCCCGAACTTGTTTAGGTTCGTAGGAGAATTGTCATTCATTCTTTGTATGTATATCGTCCTAAGTTCTTCAAAAGTGTATTAAGTCAAAGTTTGTCTCACTTGATACTATTTGTGTACTATAAATGTCTACAGTTCAAAAAAACACACGTTCCTAGAAACGCATTTCGGACCCTGCAATAAAAATGAGGGACAGTCGCGCAAGGCGGTAGTTCAACACTACACATATCATGACTATCTCCGAACTAGTGCGAAATGAATGCAGGGCGAACCAATTGGTACTCTCCCTGCAGTAATTACTTTTTCAAAATTTTCAAATTTAGATGTAGTCTGACACAGCGCTAGTTCCGCCGTCCAGGGATGGGCGTTTTTGAATGAATTATTATTCAAATAAAAAATAAAATTTTGTTCATAATTTTTCTAATTTTGAATGACGAGTAAATTTTTATTCTTCATTCAAACACTTTCGATGATGAATAAATTTGCATTCATCACTCAAGTAATTTCAAGTAACGAATAAATTTTTATTCTTTATTCAAGCACTTTAGAAGGATGAAGAAATTAAAAAAAAATATTAAAATTTATTCATCATTCGCAAGTGCTTGAATGAAGAACAAAAATTTATTCGTCATTCAAAATTGTTTAAATGATTCTTATTTTTTTTTTATTCAATTATTAATTTTCCTGACTATGCCCAATCCTGCCGTCCCTACAAATTTCAGAAGTATCTCTGAACTAGTGCAAAACGGCTGCAGAGAGGGACAGTTGAAACTTTCGGAGTGCTAGTTGCGCTATCAGCAAAGTTTCTCACATTTCTCGTACAATACGAAAATATGTAGCTCCGCGGGAAGACCTCCGACTCTAACATCGTCGGTGGCGAGTTCAAATCGCGGTAGAGGCAGTTGTCATTTTCAATCAAATTTAATAAATTTAAATTGTTGAATGCCGGTTAATAATTTCAGAGAGAATGATAAAATTTAATATAAATAAAATAAAAAATAAATAAAAATTAAATTAAATACAATCTGTAAAAGAAAAGAAAAAAAAATTACAAAAAATCGAATAACCGTGACAATACATACATACATATAAGCGTTTAAACATTTTCTTGATTATTTTCGGAGATCTGTCCAAAACGGAACCAGTTCAGAACTAGTTCGAAAATTCTGGGGGCAATTTCCACTTTGTAGTACATCGCCATGTAAAAAGAGACAGTTGAATGCACTGCGTTGGGATAGATCGAGAACCTGTACCGCCTCTTAATAAGCAAGTTCTGAACTAGCGAGATTTACTACATACATACATATTTTCTGTCGAATAGGGAATTTCTATTTACTTTTGAAGAACTCGCGCCCACACACCGGGCAATGGTGGCAAGCCTTATTTTATGGAAATTTTCTGGGAGGTATTTAAAGTCATTAATTACAATAGGGCTGTTCAGGATGTTGGGGCAACCGTGTGCATTTTATTGTTACAAATGCAACGAATACGCAAATGCAAGAGCATAGGCACAAGATCCTGAAAAGCCCTTGTGTGGTACCATGTTGTGATAGCTTCATTGAATACACAAACATATGTACACTGCGGAAAATAATGCAAAGTAAAAATGAATGCTTTATATTTGATTATCGTTTAAAAATAATGGAATTTAAAAATAATATTTTCATACAAAATTTATTACGCACGTATTTGAGTGTTCACATCTGAGCATATATATGAGTGTACATAGGCACCCCAATTATGCAGAGCGCCGCTCTGAGAGCGGTGACAACACACACATTCATATATAGTACATGTTTATCCGTACAAATCGCGTGCTGTGGTGTTGATGGATATTCAACATTTGAAAGCAAATTAATATGCCTGGGTGTAGCTGAGTGCGCAAAGATGCATGCCACAATTTGTTGATATCCAGAGATGATCAGGGTTCGAATTCAACTGAAGTTAAATATTTTTTTTTTAGTTTTTGTTAGAACGAACGCGGTCATTTTAATATGCCGTAATTGAATTGAATATTTACCAATATACAGTACTTTCGTTGACGTTTATAGTAAGATCAATTACGTTTCTATTTGATTTTAATATTTTTTTTCCCTCAGTGCATTTTAAAAACTGGAATAAATAGCGATTATTTTATGAATAAAGTTTTTATAAAGGAATATGTATTCATAAAAAATGGACTTGCCACTTTTCAGATTAAGTGTGGTGCTTACTGCTCATCATTGTGTATTTATTTTTTTTAGGATCTTACTTTGCAACTGTTCAAATAAAGGTAGCGATTGCTTCGATCGTGCGCAGCTTTAAAATATCTCTGAACGCAAAAACCAAACCTTATGTTAAACTGGATCCGAAAATGTTTCTAGCCCACCAGGATGGAGGTGTTTGGTTAGATTTTCAGCTCAGAAGTTGATATGTACACATTTTTAAAATTATTCTACAGCATGTTTTAAGAATTATTTTACTAAAAATTATTTTACAAAAAAAAAACTTTATAAGGATATAAACTATTATATTTATAATATTTGTATACAATAACACAATTAAACTTCTTTTAAAGTTGCAATAATATCGTAGGTTCACGCTCAACTGAATAAATAGTTTTTGCCCCTTACGAATCTTTAGTATACTACCTGTAGATTCCGCAGAGCTATATCTTATATTATATAAAATTATATTATTATATTATATAAATATTATAGATATTATAGATATATAGAATAGATATTATATAAAAAATAACAAATATTAAATAAATAAAAGATAAATAACCAAAACTTGTTAAAATGTTGCGCCCATATTAATTTTTCCTGTACTGTAAATTGCTGTATTTTCGTATATGAAAGCTATTGTACAACAAATTTAGTTCTAAACAAAGTCAACATTAGACAACTTAATTTAGCTAAACTAACGCCCGTAAACCTGGCTGACGAAAGTCATCAATTAGGTGATAATTAGAGCCGACAAATTAATTTAAAAGCCTGATTGGTGTCGGATAAAATCACAAAAATATGCGCTTAACTTCTGACCAATCGTAAATATTTTTAAGGATTGTTTGGAAACTATTTGAGCACCTACATAAATAAATTTTGCGGCCATAATTACACCTAAAAAATGCCTAATTCCTCAATGATATTAGACGACTTGGGTTAGCCACGTTTATGAACGTCTTAACATATTCTTTACCTCCCTAACCTTATCAGATGGAGAGTAAAGTGTAAAAAGTAATATCAATACAGTATACATTTTTAATGTACTACATATTTTACTTTTACTATGCTAAGTTCTAAAAGCGCTTCACTCTTTGCGCTTGTAATGTAGCCTGTCGTTGAGGTCAGTAGGCACAACTCCCAAAACCTATTAGCGAAGAAAAAACACTTTTACTGATGGAGTCCGACCGGTCAATCGACATCGGCATCGACATAGGCTAGTATCGGCCAAAAGAATCGGCATCGGCCGTTTTTGGCTGATTCTTAACCGATTCGTTTTACTTTTTCCGCGCTTTTAACAGATTTTTTAGAGTTTTTTTTGAGTACGCAGTTTTTTAAATTTTAGTACAATAAAATGCAAATCCGTGACTCGGATTGATATTTCCCCTGGACATTCACACATGCGCACAGTTCATTCGTTCAAGCAAGATTGCCAAGTTTTTTATTTAAAACAAGTAATGCCTTGGTTATAATGGACGGGGCGAATCGTAACAAATCGCGGCGAATTCGTAAGGATCTATTGATTTTAGATTGTTCCGTTTTACGTTACGTTTACGTGCATTAAAACCATTTGCATTCATTTCCCATACAATAGATAATTAAGTGAAAGTTCACTCCGTTCCGTTACTTTCATTATAACCCAGGCATAAAGAAGTATAACTTCGGGCGAAATCGAACTTTATATACCCGGCGCACATATTCAGCCTTGTCATGAGTTTCGTTTTCCCCGAACCGGTTCACTTTTTACTCTTGGTTTCAATAGTTTTACTATGGGCGGATGACAAATTTTCGGGTGAACTTCTTTTCAGGCGAAACTCAGGGTAAGGCAGATTAAATATCATTTTTTTACCTTTTAGTAAACTGCGTGATAAGCAAGAGTTTTTTTGCCGATTTTAAACAGTTCCGATGTATGCTATGATGTTGTACACATTAGCGTACACAAGGGGTGAGTTTTGGGGGTTCAAAGAGTTTACCACTGATATGTACTTAACAAGGTTTCGAAGATTTAATTTGCCAACTTCGCATTATTTCCAGAAAAATGCGCTACATAATAAAAATACAAGTTCAGTTAATTTTTTCGGTAATGGAAATATTAAAAAAATAAGGCAATCGTGAAAAATCACTATCTCTATTGAAACAAGAAACCAGAAATCGAGGAAAATTAACATAAAAGTGCAAAAATTTCATGGAATTAACTAATTTATTTATATTAAAACTCTTTTGTTGAATTTCAAGGCGAACACATATAAGGTGGTATGGATTCAACAAATACAACTTATACAAATTTAGGAGTACCGTTAATTTTTTCACGATCCAATGATCGGATCTAAACCAAATTACGGGACGACCCTTAAGGTATGTACCTTCTTTCCGACAAAAAAGACTTATTGAAATCAGTTCACCCGGTCCAAAGTTATTCGGTGGCATACACAAAAGAAGAAAAAATACTCTGACGAATTGATAACCTCCCTTTTTTTTGAAGTCGGTTAAAAATGTTTGAGTTCTTTGTTAATTTTATGTAAATAAAATGCAATTTATGAAACTTTAAAAAGTTTTTTTTTATTTATTACACTTCTTTTTTGGCGCTGTAACCGCCTAAGCGATTTTGGCCGAGTTCAGCAAAGCACGCCAGTCGTTTCTCCTCTGTGCCAACTGACGCCAACTGGAAACGCCAAGTCCTTCTCCACCTGATCTTTGCATCGCAGTGGGGGCCTCCCTCTTCCTCTGCTACTACCAGCGGGTTCCGAGTTGAATACTTTCAGAGCTGGAGCGTCGGTGTCCATTCGAAAGACATGGCCAAGCCAGCGGAGCCGATGTATTTTAATTCGCTGCACTATGTCCATGTCGTTGTAAAGCTCATACAGCTCATCGTTCCATCGTCTGCGGTACTCACCATCGCCAACGCGTAAAGGCCCGTAAATCTTCCGCAAAATCTTTCTCTCAACCACTCCAAGAGCAGCCTCATCGGATGTTGTCATTGTCCATGCTTCTGCGCCATATACCAGCACGGGCATGATGAGTGACTTATAGAGCGTGGTTTTCGTACGTCGAGAGAGGACTTTACTCCTCAATTGCCTACTCAGTCCAAAGTAGCACTTGTTGGCAAGAGTGATTCTGCGTTGGATTTCAATGCTGACATTATTATCGGTGTTAATGCTGGTTCCCAAGTAAACGAAATTCTCTACTTTCTCGAAATTGTAACTGTCAACAGTGACGTGAGTGCCAAGGCGCGAATGTGCCGACTGTTTGTTTGATGACAGGAGATACTTCGTCTTGTCTTCGTTTACCACCAGACCCATTCGCTTTGCTTCCCTATCCAACTTGGACAAGGCAGAACAGACTTCGCGGTTTTTGTTACCGATATCGATGTCATCGGCATAAGCCAGCAATTGCCCGCTCTTGTAGTAAATTGTTCCTGAGCGGTTCAGTTCTGCAGCTCTTATTATCTTCTCCAACATCAGATTAAAGAAGTCACATGAAAGGGAGTCACCCTGTCTGAAACCCCGTTTTGTGGTGAACGGCTCAGAGAGGTCCTTCCCTATTCTGACGGAGCTGGTGGAATTGCTCAACGTCATTTTACACAGCCGTATGAGTTTTGAGGGAGTGCCAAATTCAGACATATCGGCGTATAGGCAGCTCCTTTTAGTGCTGTCGAAAGCGGCTTTAAAGTCGACAAATAGGTGGTGAGTGCTGATCCTTTTCTAGCGAGTCTTTTCCAAGATTTGGCGTATTGGTAATACCTGGTCTATGGTGGATTTGCCAGGTCTAAAGCCACACTGATAAGGCCCAATCAGTTCATTGACGGTGGGCTTCAGTCTTTCACACAATACGCTCGATCCCGCGGTAGTTGGCGCGAATGGCGGGGTCACCTTTCTTGTGGATTGGGCAGAGCACACTTAAATTCCAGTCGTCAGGCATGCGTTATTTGTTACTGTACATAAAACTCGCATAAAAAACTGACTTATTTGCATAACCTCAAACAATTTCTGATTTATTTCCATTTATGATTTTTGTAAGCTTTTACAATTTTGTTAACTTTTGGAAAACGAAGTGGAAAAGGAAATGGAGAAATTAAAATGTAATGAGTTGATTTTATTTTACGACCGTTTTTAGCCGTTTTCAAGAAAAACGTGTTTTTCTGGGCTATCATGGTATTACAAAAGGCGAGTTGTTTAAGGTTTGGCTGATAGGATGTTCGAAAAAAGAAAAGTTTTTTTCGGTTGTTAACCATGTTGAAAAATTGGCGCTGCTGATATTTGCGAAAGTTCCATGAAACTCTTAGAAGAAAAAAACCGTATTTTTTGCAATTATTTATCAAAGAAAGACGAAAATTATGAAAACAATTCGGAAAGGCTGCTCAAATATTTAGATCTGAAAACATATCGTTTATTTCTGATGAAGCTCTTTTCGAAATCAAAAAGCCAGCAGCCAGATTCTAACTTCCGCAATCGCTAAAATGCTAAAATACGAAAGCTAACATTTTTCCGAATTTTTTTCCAAAAATTGCGGTTCTGTCCTCCCTTTGGCTAAAAATAGCATAGCCTAAATTTGTGGATGATACATTTTTGGTAAATGTGTCACAAATCAGCATTTGCATTTTGAATATAAATAATATCGGTGGAGAATTTGGGAATACTGAAACCTCAAGTGAAAATGAAGTGTTTTATGAAGACTAACTGCTTTAGGAATCTCTCCTCAAGGCATATCTGCGAGACATGTAGTAAATATTTTTCCAGATAATGAGTATACTTGACTATTGCCTCTGGACTGACAATGTTGAAGGATCGTTGCGATGGTAATTCAAAACATAACATAAAATAACATACCATAGCATTACATAACATAATATAACACAACATAACATAACATAACAAACGAATGGCGCGGATCTTAGGGTATTGATTACTAAATAATTTGAGTTTAATTATTTAACAGGGGCAACACTTTTCGAAAAAGTAAAACCTTATCGCACATATACAGCCCAAGTCCTTTAATTTGAGACCTCATTTTTGAAAATCCAACGACCGGTATAGATCTGTTAGCCTGGACAAAAAATCCCTTCGCGTATTATATATATAGACTAGTGAACCCGCATGGCGTTAAAACGCCAACATTGAATTTAGCTTTTTAAAAAGGTTGAAACACTATTCAAAACCCCAAAAAATTATCCATAAGATTCATATAAAATGGTGTCGGTTTTTCTTTTCATAAAATTTCTATGTACAAGCCCAGTTCTTT